TTTTTTTTTTAATTTTAAATATAATAATTTTTTTTATTTTCTTTTTTTTTATTTTTTTTTTTTTTTTTTTTACGTTTGATTAGTTTTTTTCAATTTTTTTGGGTAAATTAGTTATTTATTTTGAGTTTTTTTCTTGTTCTCTAGTTTAAAAATTGATTAGGGGTTTATGAAGTAATTTACAATGTTGCCTTGAAACATTTAGCAACTTATAAGGAAATTTTATGTAACTAATGTTTGACATAAATATTTTTATGTCAACTATATCATGGCACGTGCCTTGCACGTGCTTCTCACTAGTAATTTAAAAAGTTGAGCATTGAAAATTGTGATGGAGAAGAGTTGGGCATGGAAACGCACCAATATTTCTTGAACAATATGTTTCCATACTTCAAAAAGAAAAAAGTGAAATCCGAATAGGCCATGCTTGAGATGGAATTATAACACGAAGAGGAACAAATCAGGTTGAAACGTGAATCACGATAGAATCAAGGTGTACAAAAGAAATTCAACACGGGTACATCAAAATTAGATTATCTTCTAACCTTAGGAAAATTCAGTGGTAACATCATGGACTTCGCTATAGATGAGTAGCCTCCAACTCTCCGAAACCACTTTTGTAAAGGCTTCAAAAACTACCAAGTTGGAGTACGGTGATCGATCGGCATGTTTGGGGGACAAATTTTGGACCAAGTAAATGACCACTTACTAGAAATCCATACCTCAATTTTGTGTATGTTAAATTGATGTTTCAAGACAGAAAAAACTACCTACATGGACGGGAAAGGCATCATTCTCCTCCTCTATAATGACAAAAATCTACTCATTGGAAAGGACTACCAAAATGAATAGAGCGAAAGCTACTATCTAATATGTATATATAAGTTGCCGGTCTTATAGAACATGGGGATAAAAAATAAGTAAAAATTATGGGTCTTAAATAATATATATAGATAAAAATAATGTTTAGCAAACTTATAAGTTTATTAAAGCTTTAACAAACATGTAGTTAATTG